CATGTTTGCCGACACACCTGAGACGTCAGTAATGCCCGCGACCGGTAGAGGACTGGCCCCTAGCGATATCGACTTGATACGCTCCGCACTCGATACCGCCAAGAGCAACAACTCGACTGTGCATGTGGCAAGTACCGTCGGGCCCATGAAGATAACGTATACTCCAAACAATTCCACCACTAGCGAATCCATCCTCTGGACCTATGCCAAACGAGTCTTCTTCGGGGTCCCGTTCCCCTTTTCCCAGCTTGCACAACCCGACAGAATAACTACTCACGTATCTGTCGTTGACAAGAACGGCACCGTTTCCAATACTACCTCAGACCATCTCGGTATTCGCAGTCCGTCGCTTCTCTCCGATGTCCCCTTCTTCAACTGGTTCCAGTCTCAAAGCGCCAATCGCTTTATTGTTGACGTGATAGAGGGCCAGATCATCACTCTACTCGTTGTCGTGGCGTTCATCCTTGTCTTCCTGATTCGAGAGTGGGTGGTCCAGCAACAACCTGTCATCAATATGGTTGCCCTCGGTGACAATGTTGCTGCGCAGAGAGCTGCCATCATAGAAGAGGAGGCTCTCGTTGACAACGTGGTCGTTGATGAGGGCGAGCTGGAAGACGCTCTAGATGCTTTGGACGCCGAAGTGGCTGGGGAGGCCGCGGATGTGGAAGAAGCTCATGAACCTGAAAATACTGACCAAAACGAGCCAATTGCCCCTGGAGACTTCACTCGCGAGAATGACGAGCCCGAGGCTGCCGAACCTACGATACGCCGCGTTCGCCGGTCTTCCTCGCTCCGCCGAGAACGTGACGAGCTTGTTCGCAACATAGTACGCGAAGGCCTCTCGGGTGATTTGAGGTCAATGATGCAATCGGATGAGCTTGTGGATGCCTACGACGATGGATTTCCATCCCAGAGCTTCAACGAGGCTATTGAGCGAGTAATGATGGAAGACGGCGAAGCTAGCAGCTCAAGCTTTCCTGCGAGAACCTCGTCACTCCACCAATCTTCAGGCGTAGCGCCAGATCTTGAAGGTTCCGAGTCGTCTTCATCTTCGCACAGACCAAACATGCCAGCACGCGATAGATCCTTCATCGCAACAGAGATTCGTCGCGGCCTAGAAGAGGGTAATACATGGTCTTTCGAGAACGTACCACAATCGTCAGCTTCGAACGAGGAAAGTGCTGAAAACGTACCCGAATCGTGGGAAGACGACGACAACGCAGACCGAAGAGCCGAGCAAGGACCCGAGGCTGCATCAGACCACGAACCGGGTAGCGAGCACAGCAGTGGAAGCTGGCAGCAAGTCCCTGAGGCTGTAGAAGATGACTCCGACCAAGCGCTGGAAGGAGAACATGTTCACGACAAGGGTAAAGCTAAGGCTGTCGACGCCAGTGTGGAGGATAATCTACCCGAGTCAACGTCTTCTGCACAAAGCAGTTCTACTCATCTAGACAACTCAATTACGGTCGATACTACGATTGAAGTCGACAACAGCAGTAGCCAACCTGACCAAGACTCAACCGCCCGCGAAGATCAGGAGCATTCTGAAGTGGGTCAGCAAAACCCGGACGATCAGCCTGCGGTTCCAGCCAACGCACAACCAGCAGCGCCTCAACCTCCACAAAATCCAGTGAACCAAGTATTGGACTGGATGTTTGGAGACATAGCCCCGATGGCTCGACCTGTCGAAGAGGGAGGCAACGATGAGCATATCGTGCGCGATCTGGCAGACGAAGCGCCTTTTGTGCCCTTCTTAGGGAACGAGCCGCGGGATCATGGCAATGCTGCGGCCCAAGATCCTGAAGTTGCTGCTGCTGCTGCACAAGCTGGTATAGATGTCAACGACCAGGAAGCGATTGAAGACGCTGAAGACCTGGAAGGTATACTTGAGCTCATTGGTATGCAAGGGCCCATTGTCGGTCTTTTCCAGAACGCCCTGTTCAGTGCCGTGCTGATCACCTGCACACTGGCGTGCGCTGTGTGGGTTCCTTATCTCTGGGGTAAATTCGTCATCATAATGGTGGGAAGTCCTATCGAACTCCTCAAAATTCCTCTACAGGCGGTCGCTGCAGTGACGGACTTCATAGTCGACGTCACGCTCTTCCTCGTAGCTGGTACGACGTACTGGAGTTCTTATGCCATCTCCAGTCTGGTCAAGCTGTGTTCCTTGGGGAAACTGTCTCAAACCATAGATGGTCCACTCCGTGCAGTATCTACGCCAGCATACTCCCTTGCAGAGAGTGCGATGGTTCGTATTGGCAAGATGTTCATGGACTCGCCATTATCGTCTCAGCCCAGCTACACCCAATTCACGCTCAACGCACACGCTTCACTACGAAGCCTGCAGAACACGACCTCATTTGCGCTCAATGAAACGAGCAGCTTTGCAAACGCCATCATCGAGGAAATTTCAGCAGACTCGCCGCCCAAGCTTGTGCTGAGGGTCCTTGGACGCCTTCCCTCGTTAATTCAAGATATCTTTACGACTACCTACGGCCAGTGCAGTTCTCTGCTCTCATGGCTTTGGACGGCTAAGTCGTACAAGATCACCATTGATCTAGACTCGAATAGCAGCACCGCTGCAGCATATACTGCATTGGAGCGATGGACGGCGAGTGACCGCCTGATTGCAATACTTGCTGGCTATGGGTTCTTCGCTTTTCTTGGTGCGATATATCTCAGGCGCGGCACACCTTTCAGCTCGTCACAGCAAGGACAAAGGATCGAACGCATTCTTTCTGATATACTACAACAAGCTGGAGGTGTGCTCAAGGTGATCCTTATCATTAGTATCGAGATGTTGGCATTTCCGCTGTACTGCGGGCTGCTTCTCGACTTGGCCATGCTCCCACTATTCCAGAACGCTACGCTGTACAACCGGTGGCAATTCGCGAGAGAGAGTCCTTGGACATCTGGATTCGTGCATTGGTTTATCGGTACCTGCTACATGTTCCACTTCGCGCTCTTTGTGTCCATGTGCCGCAAGATCATGCGCAAGGGTGTGCTTTACTTCATCCGCGACCCAGATGATCCGACCTTCCATCCTGTTCGGGACGTCCTAGAGCGTAGCGTTACGACTCAACTTCGCAAGATCGCCTTCAGCGCTCTTGTGTATGGAGCACTCGTTATTGTATGCCTTGGCGGTGTCGTATGGACCTTGAGTCGTGCTACCACCAACGTGCTGCCAATTCACTGGACTACCGAAGCACCATCGCTGGAGTTTCCGCTCGACCTTCTCTTCTACAACTTCCTCACGCCGGTCATCATCAAGTTCTACAAGCCTAGTGAGGGTCTGCATGCCATCTACAAATGGTGCTTCCAGAAGTGCGCTGGGTTCCTTCGCCTGTCCAACTTCCTCTTTGGCGACAAGGTCCCTACGCAAGAAGGCGACGATGGTCGATACGTTCGTGCACCCGCTTCCGATCAAGCTCGCATCCCCAAGGGCCAGCCTGTCTTCGTCGAAGTCGACCGTGACAACGTGCGCAAAGATGGAGAGAATGAGGGCGGAGTGCACAACTCTGATCTCGTGTCGATGGTATTTATCCCACCATGGTTCCGCGTGCGCATTCTCTGCTTCATCGTCACGATATGGATTTTCATGGGTCTATCAGGAGTAAGCGTAACAATCCTACCCCTCCTCTTCGGCCGCTACCTCTTCTCGCTCTTCCTCCCACCAACCGTTGAGATGAACGACATTCATGCCTTCTCCCTCGGCGTCTACACGCTCGCCAGCATCGGCTACTCCGCCTATCACGCCTTCAAATTCATCTCCTCGCTCAACCGATCCATCCCAGATCCCATGTCCACACTCCACACCATCGCAGCAACCACCTCCCGCGTCGGCGGCCGAGCCCTCCGCTTCTCGTATGTCTGGGCAACCCTCATCTTCGCCATACCCTTCCTCTTCGCCGTCCTCCTAGAACTTTACTTCCTCATGCCCTTGCACGCCTACCTCGGCCCCAAGGAACCCCACGTCGTCCACGTCATCCAAGACTGGACTCTCGGGTTCCTCTACTCTCGCCTCGCCGCGCGCCTCGTCTTCGCGAACCGCAATTCTCGGCCTGCACGTGCGTTCAAGGCTGTTATCAGAGATGGCTGGCTCTACCCCAACGCCAAGATCGCTACACGCTGTTTCCTCATCCCCGTGCTGGCGCTCTTCCTCGTCGCTATTGCCGTTCCATCCAGTCTGGCGTTTGTCACGAGTCGAACGCTATATCGTAATGCGAACGAAGCGACAAAGAACTTACTCTGGCGCTTCAGCTTCCCGGCTGTGGGACTTGCTTTGGTGGTTATGTGGGCTTCGTCGGCGGTTGTCAGGCTGCTCGTGAGATGGAGGTTGGTCGTTAGGGATGAGGTTTATCTTATAGGAGAGAGGCTGCACAACTTTGGGGAGAGGAAAGCGCCCGTTCAGCCTGCGTCTACTGCTACTCCTGCGGCGGGCGTTGAGGGTGTCGATGTGGGTACGCAAACTGCTTAGTTTTGCAGGGTCGTCGGTCGGTGTGTTGTTGTTTTGCGTGTAAGAGTGGAATTGCTGCATATCCTTTTCATCATGCGTTTGCTTTCGCTGAAAGGTTTAGAAGGCCTGTCAGTCGTTTTGTCAGCGGGCTAGCTAGATAGCCAGTTAGCATGAATCTCACGCTGCTCATCCTTATTACTTTCATCTACACTACTGACCTGTGAACTTGGTCTTCTGTTGATTGGTCTATCGACTAACGTCGTGGTCAACTACGCATGATGTGAAAGCCACTCCGCCGTTGTACAAATTCCCTTCTAGCACGGATGAAGATACGAAGCCCTCGGCTGCCACCCTCCTTCAGCCACAAGAACCTCTCCAAGAACTCTGCTAACCCGAAGAAGATGCCCGTCACGCCCTCTTCCTGCAACAATAGAAACACCAACAGGCATACCATGCATCCCCATGAAAGCCGGTATGTGCACCACTGGCACATGCAGACCCTGAATAGAAGTCAAACTCGTTTTTATCTACCACCTGTAACACGTCAACTCACCGTCCACAGCGTATTGAACACCGGACTCCCCATATCGTTAAGCCCCACCGGCGCCTCATCTATAGCGCTTGGCGCGATGATGACAGTGTACTTGGCTGCTATCGCGTCGAAGAGCGTACGCAGATGCGTGTATTTTTCCAGAGCCTCCCTCTTCTCTTTTTCTGCATCAGCGTGTTTGGAGTGGTTTTCTACTAGATTCCGAATTGAGACGTCCAACCCGTCCTTGTGCGAACAGTGTTCTTCGTGGAACGCGAGTGCTGTCTCATTGTCGATGATTGCGTTTTGTAAGCGCGTTAGAATGTCTGCGTTGCCAAACTCGTTTGGTAGTGACACTTCTTCGACCTGTATGCCGTGGTTTTGCAGTATCGCGGCTGTTTTATGCATGGCATGTATAGTACCAGGGCCGACGTGTGACCACATTGGTGTCTTGACAAGAGCCAATGAGATGTCTCCCAAGCATACTTTCTCCGGGTGCTCGTCGTCAGGGAGTGAGAAGACATCTGCTAGTAACTGCAAATCCGCTATGCTTCGAGCGAAGAAGCCGATAGTATCGAATGTAGAAGAAACGATCTTTTGGCCTGAGGTTGAGATGGCGTTGTACGTGGGTTTCATAGCGAATGTCCCACAGTAGGCTGCTGGTCGGATGATGCTTCCACCTGTCTGCACGCCCAAGGCAAGCGGAATCTGCATATCGGCTACTGCAGCGGCGGAGCCGCATGAGGAGCCGCCTGGGGTTCGAGATGGGTCGTGGGGATTGGTGGTCGGAGGTCCTGAGTTGGGGATCGTGAATTCAGTTGTCGTTGTCTTGCCTGTGGGAGGCGTCAGACGTCATTCGTGAGAAAGGTTCATTGACTAGCCGAATATTAAAGCTCCTGCAGCTCGTAGAATGGCAACAGCCGATGAGTCGAAGCCAGATCGGTGTTCTTCGTATATCTGAGAGCCGTGTTGGGTGGGCATGTCTGGAGGTTGTCAACATCTGGCATGTAAAGGACTGTACCTTATGACCTTTTGTGTTCATCACATCCTTGACACCTATCGCCACTCCATGCAACGGTCCTCTCTGATTTTGTGGCACATGATCAAGTTCTCGAGCTCGGCGTAGAACAAGCTCTTGATCTGGCGTTTGCTCAGATGAAGTGCTCTATATGCGCAGAGCAAGACTCACCGAGATGGGCCCATGCCTTGACAATATCGTCGCGGTCGTGGATGCGGTCGAGAAGAGATTGCGCATAGGCCTCGACTGTGATGGTATTGGTTTTGAGCAGTTCCAGTACTTGCACTGCGGTCAGAGTGTATAATGCAGGTGGTGTTGGCATGTTTGGAGAATATTGGGAAGGAGCAACCTGGAGAGAAAGGTAGGACATAGAAACATGGATGAGCATATGCGATAGCATGCATGGTCGATCTGCATGCAAGGGGATGCCCAACTCGCTAATGATCCATATTGATATCTGCACGCATGGGACGCAAGCTGCCGGTACAGATTTGAGAACTTTGTATTGATTTCCTCCCATAGCGCCGTAGTTGATGCAAATTGTACAGTAACACATGGTATACACATACGCGACCGTCGTTCCCGGTGTGGACCGTCTAGAAACCTGGAGGGTTGAGTCGTTGACTGACTCTTGTCCACTTTGGCACCTCTGTATGTTGTCAGCCACGGCAATTTCAGAATTTGTTTGATTCTCCTCCTGCAGCCACAATTTTGTGCTCTCGTGCACTAGAAGTATGCAACTTACTGTGTATTCCCTTTCGATACCTCTTCACTTTACGGTCGAAGACGGTGTATTTGTCCTTGGGCAGCATCTCCGCCTCGGTTGGCATCTCCATCTTCCAGCGCTCCACCTTCTTCATGCTCTGTCCCATGCGTCGTAGTGCGGTATCGATTGTGCCGACCACAGTGTCAACGTGCCGTAGGCGCTCGCGCTGCCTGTACTTCTGATGTCTGGATAGTCGCCATGGTATCTTCCTATAGTTTTGTCAGCACGGCCTGCCAGATATCGAGTCGCAACTGATAGAAGGTGCATCGGAGCGGGAATTGTGATGGCGACGACGAGCAATTGCGCGCGGGTGACAGTTCGGGAAAGCAGGGAGTCGCACCATAATAGACCGCCCGATAGTGGGTTTGTGAGGCGGAAAGGACCAAACATGGTGAGGTGCTGGGGTTGGCGATGCTGGGTTGCGCAATTGAAGTCGCGATATTCTTCGAAAGGCACTCCCGCGGACTTTCTTGGCAGACATGCCGATTAGCGTGGGGAAGCTCACCAGCACACCCCACACGTTGTACAGCTGAACACTAGGCTATATTTACGACGATACGAAGTACGAATCCTGGCGTTTTCATTTTCGACATCAGTGAGAGCAGAAAGGCTGTACTAGGCTAAATCCCGCATCCACACCTGGACCACGCGGCGCACGCCAAACACTCCACACGTACACCGACGTACAACCTCATACCTCACCATGTCATACACGTTCTCCATCCTATCGCCTCTCGATGTTCCCCTCTTCACGCACGACTTCGGTACCTCACGGAGCGGCGGCACCGGTGTCGCGAACTATACCCCCGCCGAGCGCGCCCTTGTCCCGTTCATCCTCCACTCGTCCCTCGATATAGTCGAAGAAGTACAATGGGGCCCCTCTACATCTAGTGGCTCCGCGCCCATGTACCTTAAGCACATCGACAAATACCAGAACTGCTTTGTGTCGTGCTGGATTACCGGCGGCAATACACGCTTCCTTCTGCTCACAAGACCACGGGACGAAAGTCTGGGGCTGACAAGTGGAGGTGCTGGAGGCGCGAGGGGAAGTCTAGCGGGTGGAAGAGCTGCTCTGGGAGGAGGTGCTGGTCTATACAATCCCAGCAGTCCAGCCACGGAAGAAGCTGTTAAGAACTTCATGGTTGACGTATACGAGGCATGGGTCAAGACTATTATGAATCCCTTCTTTGCTGTGGGTAATGGCGAAGTCATCAAGAGCCCGGTATTTAGGCAGAGAGTTGCGACTGCCGCAAAGAAATATCTATGAAGGGGGAGAAAGCATCACGGAATCAACGATTCAACAATACACACAACCACAGGCCGAGAAGCCATTTTATACCCGGGTACACGGTGGAGGGCACAAGAGCAGTCTAGATTGTTGCGATCTGATTGGAGAGTATCGGCAAGATAACTGCTGAAAGGTCTCACTTCCACTTCGCAGCGACGCAAATCTGAGACAAGGAAGGCAGCAACGGGAGCCTTCGAGCTAGTTGCGAGCCTTTGCACTGAGCAGGTGTATGGCTACTCATGCCCGCGAGGCTATTAGACCTAGCCGAAGTCGACCTCGCGCTTTGTGTGGGTTATGATAATTGGGAACAGGATGATCAATATCCTGAGAGTCGATGCGATGGAGTCTCTGTCGCGCACGCATCTTTTGATAAGCACTGTACTGGACTAATAGATTGCATTGGGCTTGCACGCAGCCAATCCCTCTCTATATAGCATCCTAGGTCACAAACAGCTACTAGGTCAAAAGTGGATACTCGTCGTTTGCGTCTCGGCGTTCCGTTTACCTATTATTCAAGGCACCCTACCTGCAAACCCAAGCCATGAACATAGAGGTCTTACCTTACTTACGCATTCTCAAAACTGTGGTCACCATGAGTTGCGCCTTTACCTTGGTCCCGTTTATAATCGCGCAGATCTCTCACTCACCTTCACCTTGTCCAAGCTGGTATATCACCACTCCATCTACCCACCTTCTCCCACTCGCAACGAACTCTCTTACCTCACAGTATTTAATATCTTTGCCTTGACTTCAGCGCGTTGCAACTCTTAGCATGGCATCGAAACCCCCCGAAGTCAGTGCTGCAGACAAACAGTGGCTCACTTTCCGACAAAAGCACGAAGCTGAACTTAAGGGCTTCCAACGGTACGCGACGGAGTCTTTTGCCAAGTTTCAGGACAACGTCAACAAGGAGCGAGCAATTATTCTCGCAAAACACCAGAAAGAAGAGGAAAAGTTCTGGAGCAAGGCAAAGGCGGCAGCTAATAGGGAGAAGGAAAAGGTTGGTAACACGGCTATCAGGCCTAAGACGGGTGTGCAGAGTCAAGCAAATCGTCGGGTAGCTGCTGCACCACCGAGAGCTGCTCCCACCATCAAGAAGACGCCGGCGCCGAGGCCCAAAGCACCATCCATATCCAAGCCAGCGAGCAACACAGCCACACCGGTAGCAGGACTCAGGAATAAGAAGGCCGCTGTCACGTTCATTGATCTTTGTTCTGACGAGGATGACGATGAACCGGTCTTACTCAAGGAGAAACCTGCTTTACAGATAGTCGGGCAAAAGCCGATCGCGAAAGACCCTCCCGGCTTGTCTGGCAAGATCGGAAATGCGGTGAGTCGGCAAATCCTAAAACATTCTTGTCCTAAGACTAACTTATATAGAATACGTCAGAGCCAGAACAGTTGAAGCGTGAATACAGTGTCTTTACTCAGCAACCCCCACACCCACTCATACAACCGCCTGCGCTATGTACAAGTAACAGTAACACTCCTGGTATGCACGTCTCGAACTCCGTCGCCTCTCAGCATGCGCCGGCAGCTGTTCTCAGTACACAGCCGAACCTGGTCGGGGGCGTGGGTTTTGGCAACTGGGCGAATGTGCCTCGCATGCCAGATGCCCGTCAAGGAACAGCATTCAAGCTTGGGGTCAGACCATTATCAGCTTCCTCTCCGTGGGCTACCCCCACAATTTCTGCTTCACAAGGCCTGCAGTCGACGAGCGGTTTCGCTTCTTCGAGACTCTCTCAAGCCCACCAGCCAGACAACTTCCAATCGCAACAAAGTATAGGCTACCAATCAGGCCAGTCATTGATGTTCCGGGGATCAGCTTTACATGACCTTCCTCGAGATGACCAAGGAGGTTTGCGAAGTGAAGGCCATGCTTACTATTTAAATGGCTCAATTCATTCTTCACAAGACCTTGGGCGTAGAGACAGGTTTGATACTGATTCTGTCCCGGATCATGCAACCAAAAGCGTGGAGAGCGACCTTCGTAAACCGGGTTCGAATGTCCTGGACACGATGATGCATGAAGCCCCGCGTAGTAAGCTTGCTTCCGATCTTACAGTGACTGAACTAACGTATGCACAGCTCCAACAAGACCACAGCAGCACACTCCAAACATGCTTCCATCACCTCAGAATACTGGCCTCGTATCCACTCAAGAGAGCCCTCGCACCCCAACCGCAGAGCCACTTACTCCTACAACTCCTAAGACTCCCAGCTTCAGAAGGCCATTCCTCCCAGCCAGTGCCACCAAAGACAGTATTGCGGTTGCTAGGGGTGTTCGAGCTGGTTCCCAGGTTTCTACTTCTACGCCTACTAATCGCGCCTCGAGTGTTTCGCAAAGTCAACGCGATGCGTCAGTCGTATCGCATACTTCTTTTTCCTCGCGTTCAGGCAGAGGCAAGCGGAAGGTGGTGGATCTCAGCAGCGATGAGGAGAGTGACTATGCCCCGCCGTCTGATGATGAGGAGCCTAGTTCCCCTGTCATGATGGACGATGCTCCTGAGCCTGTAAAGAAGCAGACATCTAGGCCGGCGACCAAGAAGGCTAAACTTCCTCCATCACTACCACCAGCTCTTGCCTCAAAAGGTGTGTATAATAAGGGAAAGAATGGCTTTGGCTTCACGAGCTTGCAGAAATCGAAACCCAAGGTCAACAGCCAGACTGATGCGGCATCACCGACTACCCCACCGCGTGTGCCCACCAGAAAGCCTCAGCCGACGACACCATCTACACCGACACCTGCGTCTCAGAAGTCCAAAATCGTTACGTTAAAGACTCAAGGAGCAACGGTATCGCGCTCACCTCGAAAGGCCAAACTTGACGCGTCTGCAGAGATCACCCAACTTAGCGAAGCCGAATTAGAAACTCGGACCAGCATTGCTATCGATGAAGCGAACCAGCGCGAGAGAGCAACAGCTGAAGCTGGGATTTTCGAGCAAGTCAGAGGTGGCATGCGGGCTATGTCCATCACTCCCGCACCTAGCACCGCTGGCAACGCTGCAGAGGACGTAGAAATGCTGGCCGACGTTTCAGACTCTGAGATCACATCCCCAAAACACAGCGCTGGATTGAGTTCATGGACAGATTCTCGCTTTAATGGCGACAGGTATCTTGCCAAGTCTCGCGCTGCTCGGCCCATAGTGGAAGACGACGAGGACAACGACTACGATGACCCGGACATCAGTAAGTACAGCGTCATCGACGGCGTTATTGTGCATGAGGCGGATCGAGAGAGACTGAGACTGACGCAAGAGCAGGAAAGGCTTACGAGATCAAGAGGGACAGACTGTGGCAGTCGCGCACGTGCAGTGACCGCAGTTGAGATGCCGGAGCATGCTCAGGGTATGGCCGGGCAGAGTGGGAGGCGCGCAAGAAAGACGATGAGGTGAGAAGCATGGGACTGGAGCCATGGGGATTAACTGAAAGCTACGCCTTGTACAATGTACCTTGAATGGTACTCCCATGTCGCAAGAGCGTTTGGAAGTGGAGATGTCTCTTGCAGAGCAGGTAGTATCGAAGTATCCGTATCTTCGTCTACTCGCATGAAGTCGCAATATGCTTCGCACTAGCTATACTTCTATCATTCATCGAAACTCTATACGGTTCTTGCTTAGCTAGTGGTAACAAGAAGCTGGTACACAGTCCAAAATCGAATCACACTTTAGCCCATCGAACACGTCAAATCTCTCTTACGTGAAGGCAAAACGAACAGCCCCCAGCTAGCCAACCCATCCACAGCTTACTCACAGTAAAAGCATCCAGATCACCATAGACTGCAACCAGGGAGATGACGCTGCAGCTTATCAAAGCACCGAATCGGCCAGACACACTAGTTCGGTCCCCGTTCACGCACCTGCAACCCCACTCCCCTAAGCGCATGACAGCAACCACTTCATAGAACCCGATCTCGACGCGTCCAAAAGTCTCATCTACAGTAGTATGTAATAAACGCCCTAACAGTTGTCAATAGTAAAAGGCAAAGCTTTTTGCCCCGCAATGGCTAAAATACTTAGCTCATTAGCTCACGCGACCAGCCAGCCTCATTCAATCATTCAACGGCGCTCCGTGCATCGAACAGAGGACGAGCTCAGTCAACCGTCCTGCACACGAGAGCCAAGACGGGGAAACGAGCATCAACGACGCAGCAAAAAAACGGTCGGCGGTGCTAATACTTGCAACGGTTTGGCAAGTCGCGCCGAAGATTAACGTTAACGTCAGGTGTTAGCTGTTTTAGTGCACGGAAGGTGGGCGTTACCAACTTGTGACTGGCTGGCTTTGGGTGCCCGGAGTTTTTTTGGAAAGTGGAGTAGCTAGCTAGTCTAGCCAGTGACATAGTTGGTTCGGATTAGTTAGTTCGCGCTTTCTTCTAGGTTGCAGACTTGCAGTGGAGAAGGTCTTGGGAGTTCGGTTCTTCTTGGTATTAGCAATCGGGGCGGCCGTGAGTGGATGGGATGACGAGAGTCTTTGATGGAGGCTGCGTAGTTGCGGAAGTGGCATTGGGGAGGATTGATCTGGGATACTGCGAGACGGGACAGAAGGCGTCGATTAGAAAGTGAATTGTTGCAAGTAGAGTGCGCAGACGGAGAAAAGCATCTGTTTCACACACGAGTATACCAAGAGCCTTGGAACTGCCGTCAGCGCGAAAAGCGACGATATGTCAGCCCATCTCTGGTTTAGTTTTGACAAGCCAACTAGGCATATCCCGCCCAGTGTGACATGCCCTCCAAGCACCATCGCTGCAACTTCGGAGAGTTTTTCATACGTTGCTTTGGAAAGACGGAGGGAGGAAGGGAGGGGCCATTTCCGACTACTCCTAGGTTCGTAACGGTTTTACCGTTTTCGACGCCTTTCGGGGGGGTTGGCAGCAGTTGGGTTGGTTGGGGTCCTTTCCGCGCGTACCTCGTCTCGCGTGCCACATGCCACATGCATGCATGGGTAATTTCGGTCTCCAACGGCCAGCCGTTCCGGCAATCGTGTCTAAACCGCAATCAGCCTGTTCTGCCCACACACCCCAACAACCGTCGGGTCGCGTCGCGTCGCACAACAGTGCATTGCGTTGCAGTCGTGTGCCTGGCCTTCTTTGATACCCTGCCCTGTTGCGTGCGGTGCGCCCCCCCCTCGCCCCTTACTACCCACACCTTGCCCACCCTGAAAAGCAAATCATCCTTGTGTGCCTGAGCTGGGTAGTCAGGCACCAGGCACGCAACGCGTAGACATGAGTGGTATTCAGCCACGCGAGACCAGGCTCTCCCGGCCTGTCACCTGTCCGCCTTCCGCTTTGCGAACGTATGGGGGAGGGATGTCCCTAGGGGAGAGTAGGTCGACCGAACGACTATCGACGTGATTTATTTGTCTCGGACAATATCACGTCGAGCATGCATGGAAAGGCTTGCGTGCCGTGCCGCTGTAAGTGATCGTGAGTGGCTACTGAGCGGTTCATGTGGGTTCTCTTCTCGTTCGGTGCTTTGAAGGATTGCGGGCGAACTGGTCAGCTGGCTGCATCTGGGATGCATCCTCCGGGTCTCTCTCGATGATACACAAAACGCCTCTTCCAATGTTTGGAGGAGGGCAATTTACTCTGGACTTTTGCCGGGCTGTAAACACTCGCAAGTAATCACTTAATGTCAGACTGCATGTTTGTTTTTGAGATGTCTATTATATGTCCAGGGTAGCAACAACTAGCCCATCTACCGAATACTAAAAAAACATGCGCAATATAAACATATCCGAAGACGCAATCATAGCCGACAAGACGCCTTCCTCATGCCATAAACAGCGTCCTGAGTCATGCTTTTAGACGCTCCCTTGTCTCTTTTTACCGCAGACGCCAAAGTCCATTCGCACAAGAGATGATCGCTCAACACGCTATAAACAGACAGGAAAGAATAGACCGAAAACCGACCGAGTATGTCGCAAGAGATCATAACTTGCCGACGGGTATCAAGACGGTGGTGGGTGGCCGAGAAGTATCGAAAAGAGAGAGAAGCAGTCATCGGCAGATGAACGACCAGTCTGAAACCCAATACAGCCACGATGAAACATAGGTGTAAGCAACAGCCGGGCCTGTCGCGAAGGATTTGGTGCCGAGTCGAAAAGGGTTGTCAACCCCGGTCGTTCGTAGGGGCTCCCTGCAAGTGCCGAGAAAGTGGGTCAACGGGGCGGCTGCCTGCAACCAGGGCATCCGTTTGGAGCATGTGGCCTGAGACTTCTTAAGGAGAGCCATCGCGCCTCGCCTTCTTGCTCTTCTCGATTCTCTCGTTCCACCGCCTCTTTCCAACACGAGTCTCGAAATGTGGGGCTACTTGGGTCACATCTTGACCTTGGCCCATCATGCTACTTCTCATCTTGTTACGGTAGGCATCAACTGTTGATAAGGTTAGTAAAACGTTCTTCTTCGTACCGAGCCATTGACTTACGAGACTTTTGCAGAAACAATGTCCTTCCTGCGAAAACACGACTCTGGCTCCAGCTCATGCGGTAACCAAGATCATTGAGCGTAATCTCCTTCGACCGCTTCGCCCGAGTAAGACGCGGCTTCGGCACACGAGTCTCGCCATCCAGCGTTGGAACAGGCACAACAGTAGAGCCAGCCAGAGGGAAGCTCGGGTCGCTCTCGACGTCGGGCTCGTCAGCAAAGACCTTGCTGCCACGAGGACTGGCAGGTGGAGAGGTCATTTGCATGGCAAAGTAGCTACGAGGGAATACTGAGTTGGACTTGCGGTAAGAATCAGGCATCTCCTCCATCTTGACCGTGTCGAGAGTAACTCGCACGCGAACCCTAGTTCCTCGTTGCGCATCATCTACAAGGATGAATTTGCGGCGCTTCGAGTCAGGTAAGTCGCCAAACATGGCTAGCTTTCGCTCTTCTTCGTCTTGCTCTTGCTGCTTTGAAACGGGCACACCCGCTGCGTGCGATGGAGGCGGAGGGTGGCTCAGGCTGTCGTGGATCGGCGGCATGCCGCTGGAGCCTGCGACGGAGTCGCTCGATGGGTAATTCGGGTAGAAGCTCTGAGCGGGCCGCCCGTCGGTAGGTGATGATGATTGACCGTTTGGCGCTTGGTGATGGTGAGTGTGTGATTCACCGTATTCATTGGCTGTACACAAAGAGAGTTAGCTTGCACGTCCAAACATGTCTCTACTTCCCGTCCTGCGCTGCTGAACCAAAAACATGGGTAACTATGGGGTGGGTATATATGCAAGCATGCATGGGGCAGTGGTATCGAAGGGGTATTACATCAAGGAGTATGTAATGTACATGGAGAAAGAACGACAGAGGTATCATTTAACAGCCAACAACAATTGCGCCTTATCACATCACATCTGGTGAAACATACCGCTAACGTCATCTGGTCCTCCGTGGGGCCCTCCAGGTCCATCATGGTGATGGTGCATCTGAGGGCCGCCCATGCCCATGTTCGGTTGTCGGGGCGGTGCTGCTAATCCGGCAGAGTTGGGAACGCCAGGAGCACCTGGTCCACCTGGTCCAGCCATGTGGTTACCATGGTTAGCCGATTGGGCTTTCCTTGTGGTCATCTTGGCCATTCTGCGCACGCGTCGGCTCCTTAGTCGGGGGTCTTGGTTGCTGTTCCTCCAGCTGTCCACAGCGCGCTGGATGAGACCACGCTTTCCGCGCAGGCAAGGGTTCAACTGCGCTAGAGCCCAGCCGACGGTGTTGCATTCAGTCTCGTAGTGGAGACGGTTGCCCTTGTATTGGTCCTTGGCGCAGCAAGCGCGAGGGTATACACAGTTCTCGGTCTTGAAGTCTTGCGGCAGCTCGTCAACATTGATAGACTCGACATCGCAGCGGATGGTGTACTCCATCTTGACCCTGTCGCGAGAGTACTCAAACGCGATCCATTGCACACCATTCTGGTCTTGTCGCACAACAAGGGGAGTGGTGGCAGGAATGGGACCAGGCGCGGCATTAGGGTTGACGTTGGGTCCTCCGGGAGGGCCAGCGTGCATGTTGGGGGTGCCGACGGGAGGGCCTTGAGGCGGAGCTTGAGGCGGGCCGAGTCCTGACGGTGGCCGTTGAAGTGGCGTCTGCGACATGCGCGACTTGGGGCTTCCCGTCATTCCAGGAGTTTGGGGATGATGCTGCTGATGTTGTTGTTGTTGTTGCTGATGCTGCATCTGCTGGTTTTGCTGGTGGGACATGAGCAGCGATTGCGTCGCCATTGGTTGCTGTGGCGCGCTTGAAGGGTGCTGCTGGTAGGGTGACTGTTGGGGAACTGGCGCCGAAGCATAGGGTGTGTAGTACATTGATTGAGGCATCTGGCTGGGCGGTTGTCCATAGATTGGCCGGCCGTGCTGGTCGTGCTGTGGAGACTGAACAGATGCTGGTGAGTTTGACTGCGGGGTGTGATATGAGATCGGAGGATAACCGCCCCTGTTCATTGTTGCGGCCGCCATGAGCTCTGGGGTTTCTGCGAATTGTTAGAATTCCATTTTGTGCCGGGGGCATCCAAGTCGAGGCGTCATTAATGCGCTGGGCGCATGGACGAACGCGTGGTGATTTGTGTACACAAAAACAAAACATACCTGAGGACGAGTAGTTACTCGGCGCACTGTTGGTGCTGTAGGGGCTCTGGTGGTGCTGGGAGTAGTAGGGAACCTCTTGCTGCTGTTGCGGCGGTGGGGGGCCTTGGATCTGCTGAATGTAGGGTGATTGGTGCTGCGGCGGGCCCTGAGGGTTTGGGTGTTGTGGTGATGGGTAGTGGCCCTGTGCAGGACTCTGAGAAGGCACCGACTGGTGGGGAGAGTCGGGATGGTGCTGGTGTTGATGTTGTTGATGGACTACACCAGGCCTAGGGTGGTGAACAGGAAGGTGACTAGGCGGTGGCAAGCCCTGAGCCGAGTGGGGATGATGCTAAGAAGACAGCCAGTCAGTAAGGCTGCTGGGGCAAACAAAAGATAAAAAGCAAGCGTCGACTCTCGGTGCTGTGGTGGTGATCGGGGCTGGGGGTGCAAGCAAGGTGAGAGGTGGGGGTGCGGGTCGCTGTGGTTGGCTGGGCGGCTAGGGTGTAGCGACGGATGTGCAGCAGCAGCGTGGTAGGCGAGGGGCAGGGTCTGGAAAAAGACAGGACGGTAGGGTATAGTTTATAGGATGGGAAGGGCAGACTAAAGAAAGCAGGGCGGGACTTCGCAACGTTGACAACACAGAGCGGACCAGCGGTGGGAGCGGAAGGCTGCTAGGATGGCAGGGATTCCGCTGCTGGTAGGCTGCGTGACAAGAGGCTTGGACTGGCTTCAGAGGAGACAAGGAAAGCTTTGGCAAGTGCGACAGGGGAGGCGGGTTTTGGGTAGCAGGGCTGCTTGGCGGGAAGGGCATACCATGTAGGCAGAGACGCGCCGGAGCTGGGGTAACTCGTTGTGTGTGGCCGCGACGTGCAGTGGCTGCTGCAGCATGCAAAAAGCGCGAGTGTGAAGCTACCAGCGGCGGTGACGGGTTTAGGGAAGGGTTCTGCGACGCGCACGACGAAACTCCAACGGTCGAGGGTGCGGCAGGGCCGATCAAGATGGGAGCGAGCGGAGGGTAGCGAGTGTATGGGATGATGCAGGTGGTCGAGCGTGCGTGGTAGGGGGTGCAAGGAAGCAGAGGCAACTCACCATCTTTTGCGACGCTACAGGCGCCGGGTCTTCCTTATACTTGCGGGCCCTATCTGGGATTTTTGGCTGCGACATTGTTATTATTGCGCGGTGGTAGACGTCGAAGGATCCGGGCTGCGAGGGTCCGGGCGCAGCGGTGGACGAGGGTTGGGGAGCGATGCAGTAGCGTGGCCTGCGCAATTTCACGCGCAGAGCAGGTGGCGCTAGCGACGTCTAGGGAAAGGCAGCGAGGAGAGTCTGCAAAGGCGGTGGGAGGGCCGAGGGTGGAGTCGGTCGTTAAATCAACCTGGAACAGCCACCTCCCTGCTCTGCTGCACGCTCGGACGGAGCAGCTGTTTCGAGCGCCCAAGCCGCGGATGCGAAGGGGCCGGGATCAGGGATCGCCGGCGGAATAGCCCTGGTCGATGGCGATGTCGTCGCGGAGGGTGGGTGCTGCTACTGCGAGGATGGAGCTGCTGTTTGATGGAAAAGGCGCGTCGTCGTGCTGCCCGCTGTCGCGTCCGGTGGAGCACGTGACGGTCAGGCTTTGGGCGGGTGGGGGCTTGCTGCCCAGAGCAGAACCAGAGCAAAAGACAGCACTCGAGGACGAGCTAGCGGTTCCTTCGCGACGTGAGACTGATAGCAGCTGCCGTCATCGCCATCGCGCCTGCCCGTCGCATGCTCGTCGCCCCTGCCTCGCTCGGCTAAATCCTCGACATGGCAGTCGCGACCCCGCGGTACCTCCCTCGCACCCATGGCGTCTTAATCCGGCCTGCTATAGCTCGCACACGATGCCACCTGCTGCTTCTGCCATTTCATCTCGCCCAGGGCACACGGTGCTCCGCCCGCCGCTGCTCTGACGCGTCCTTCGAGTCCAATTCACCGCCGCTAGTCGACCGTTTTAGCAGTTGCACCACCCAGCCCAGCGCCCCGCCGTCTCGCACGCCATTGGACCGTGGCGCCGGTGAGCAGACGCCCAAAACGGCTCACCAGCATGTCTCTTTGTGCCCCCAACGTCGCCCGCTGTGACTGGCCGATGCACGCCCGCAGCCTCCAATCGCCATCGAGGCCTGATCGGCACCGCCATGCCTGATGCTGCCACACGGAGATGCTTCTCGGGAAACGGGTCATGGGCTGCCTGCTCAAATCGCCGCTGATCGGCCCTGGGACGTCGGGTTCGCAACCTCTGCGGAGCCATGCCACCGAGCAAACTGCTGCTTCAGGGGCCGCATCGTGGCAGGACCGCCTTCAATGCGCCAGACAGCCCTGCCATCCCATTGCTGCTGTGGCTATTCCCAGTAAAATTGCCCTCATGCTCAACGCGCGCAACACGCGTCGATAAACTCCGCTACAACATCCGGGCGAATAGCCGCTTAGCCCATCGCGATAGCAATACACGTCTGCAGCCGTCTCGGTGCATTTGCTCCATCGCTTCCGGCGTCAATTCAATGCTGTAATGCCGTGCCCTTCTCGGACGTCTCAAGCCTGCTTCTGCGCGCTTGTCCTCACGTATCACATGCGCACTGAAACACGAGACGCGACCAACACAAATACTCTTGTTCTGTTCGGCATGTCTCGGTGCCAGGCTTCGAGAAGATCGCGTTGGAAACAGCGCGCCGTTACATGTTGTGAGCATTACCCTCCCTGTCACGATGATCGTGGCATGGGACCTGGGCTTGTAAAAGTTCCGAGCGAGGCGTTCGCAGTGCGGAGAAACCCTGGGAGCACGCTTGCTGGCCTTGTTCACGACAAGGGAGATAGGTCAGGTACCGAGCGACCATCAACTCTATTCTGACGCCGCCCGCTACATTTCGATACAACACAACACTTGGTGACTACCTCCGCCGCCCAACTCGCGGCGCACAAGGGCGCGCGCATTCACTCTCTCACCGTCAGCATGCGCATCCACTGCGGATTTGGCAATTCAAAATCTTCACTGCCAACTTTGTGCAAGCCGAACTCCTCCTGAACACCCTCAGGCGGCGCCTCTTCACGCTTTGACGATTAGCCACGCTTGCACTAGTTGCACAAGATGTGGACATAGCCATGTCGATCTTGTCAGCGAAAACGATGCCGTGTTACATCGGGTTGCTCTTCTCACTCCACCCATATGTAATGATTAGCTGTGTGTCTCCGCAACGTGGTGCAAACACGGCTGACGGCGACGTGCATGACGGCCAAGGTCAGCTGGGGTGGCTCGTCGACATTCTCGCGCGTCGCCCGCCGCCAGGTTCTACAACAGCCTCCAACTCCGTTCGTGGTGTCGCTTCCATGATAACCGTTAATCAAGAACGCTCTGTTACGCCCAATATCGCGAGGGCGTCATGGTTGTTGCCTTCGCGTACGGTTATTTGGTTGACAGGCCATCGTTTTGGCCAACCACATTTTGCACACCGTTGTCCGCTCGCGGGAAGCAGGGATACATGCCTGGGCATCAACGGTCGACGATCACAAGGGACAAGGTGCGCGACGCTACCGTACATGGATCCGACTCGTCCCGCAAGTCTCTCGCTCACCACCAGCATTGCACACTGGATCATGCTGCACACCACCGCTACCACTACCGCATACCCCCGATTCGTGATTTCGCGCGTGGAAATAACGTCACATAAAGCTACCATGATATGCGCAGTGCGGTCGCAGGCCCCGATGGTTCATCTACCGAAGGTTCTCTGCTTATTGACCGACCGGGGAGCGATCGGCAGGTGAGCCCCATCACATCGACCATTTTTACATTGTCAAGTTTTCTCCGCTCGCGGCAGCTGTCGTGTGGAATAGGCTAGGCAGCTCTGATGGGCCTAGGCCTGCATTTGCTTATTGCAACTCTATCGGCAGATATCAGTCACATCCAAAGAAGCGATGCAGGAATGTCTATCAGATTGTGCGATAAGATCTTGATGCTGGTGATGCGAGCTCCAGTCACCCACCCGGTTGGAAGATCTCCAGGCCCCCTCGACCTTGCTTCCCGCATCCCTTGAGGGTCGTGGTGCAGCTTGGGTGTCTATCCGACATCTGTTTCCCGGGGTATATCATGAGTGGGCTCCAGGCAAGCATTGTGCCGAACACGAGTACGCGCCCAAGATGCCGCAGTGCCACAAGTTTCGCAATTTGGGAGTGAAGGACTAGACCTTCTCGTCCTGCTTTGAAATCGCTATTTCTCCAGCCGAGCCTTCACTTGCGAACGTTACTGCATAAGCGGCATTTCTGACAGGCGACAGCTTTGTGCTCATTGGCTCAAGGAGTACTCTCCTTCTGCCGGCTTTAATCATGAGACGGAGTGATCCGTGCCATCCCAGTCGATATCATCGAGCTGCAACAAGGTCCGGCCGGTCTCCCGTCCTTTCCCTGTTCTCACCAGGCCTTGCGGCGGCACTGATTCGAGCGGGCACTTGTGGAAAGGATTCGACATGGGCTGATGGATGCAGCATCACGTTAACCGCTGTTTTTCATGATGTCAGTCAGCGCTAGCTCCCGATGCACTGCATCAAGCTACCACCCTACTGTGCGAATTGGCCGCCTCGGCTTATTAGCCATCTAGGCCCAGCCTCTTCGATATTCTCGATGGAGAAGCCACAACAACATAAACATCG